TTCCATGTATTTCCGATTTGGCCCAATCCAGATACCTATCCTTCCATAACAAACTGCAGAACCATCCGAATCCTCTCGTTTCAAACCTTGCTTCCTCTTCGATCCCTGATAACCCTCCGAGGCGTCTGAAAAGAATATGGCCTCGGGACCTTCTAATATAGAACTTTAATTTGAGTTCTACCAATGGGTAGTTTCTCTTCATGTTGTACATGTCATGTTACCAATGTCACATTTACTTGTTGTATTTTCCATGTATATACGGTTGTAAATTTCATTAAAATAAAAATTAAATAAAAAAAAATTAATAAACCCTTTCTATTTCAAAATTGAAAAAAAGTCTATTATTATTATTTTTTCAATATAAATATTGATATAGATCAGTTTAAGTAAAAACCACACAATTTCTTATCTAAATCATATAGTTTTATGGAAATTTTGTACTTTATTTTAAAAATAGAAATAAAAAATAGAAAGGCTTTCTTTAACAAAAAAGACACTCTTTAAATTGTTACATGTTAATATTATTTATTTGATCTAACAAACCAAAAATAAGGGAATTTACACAAATAGAGTCAATTATGTAACGCCTCGTGTGAAAATGATAAAAACAACTTATGGTGGATATAAATAAATAAATAAAATATGATCTTACCAAAGTAAAAGGTGAAAAAAAACCAATTATTTACAGATTATCATAAATGAATATTATGCACAGATTTTATATATTAATAATTCATTGCATGGTAACAATGGTCGATAGTGCATTAGTAATTTATAATCTTATTAGTATACATGCATCAACACGAAGCATATCATTACATACAAAAATAGCAATAAACATTTATTAGTATTCTTAGAGGAAGCTGAAGGTAATGTTAATAATATAAATATTATAAAAATATGCGATAATCACATACAAAAGAATTGCTCTAATAAAATTTTGATTCTTAAATGATGTATGTTTTTCTAATACATGTCCTTAAACTTTTTTTTATATGCAAAACAATGTCTTGCTCATTGGTTTATAATAAAGAATCAATTATATAGTGAATATATATATATATATATATATATATATATATATATATATATATATATATATATTGCCACTTGAAGTTAATTAGAAGATCAAATAAATAATATTAACATATAACTATTTTAGAAGTATTTTTTTTTTTGTAAAAGAAAGCCTTTCTATTTTGTATTTCAATTTTTAAAATAAAGTACAAAACACACACACACACATATGTATATATATATATACATTGTTAATTTATAAGTACCACACGGTTGTTTATAATAGTAGGGGACCGCATTGGTCAACCAAATATTACATTCATACATCTTCAAAATTATTTTATATTTGTAAATTTTCGAACAATACTTGCTGTTCCCAATAATACTGCCATTTGTATTTTTCCCATTGTTACAAACGGCAAATCCAGCTCACGCAAAGAAGATTGAGATTCATCTGGTATTAACCCATTACAACTAATGCATAGTTTTAAACATAATGTATCTTTAGGAGTGTCGTATGACTGTGTATCACTATTTTTCCAAGTGTTCACAATCTTTCTGATTGTTGAAATACTCATATCTATAAAAACTTAAACCATTCCCATCTGTTATAATCAGTTTATTCCTCTAGATTTTATTATTTTTTTTTACTTAACTATGTAAATTCATGCCTTATTCAATAACGAATTTTAAATAAATATCTTAATTTTTGTATGTAAAATTTTTATTCATACCGCCCTAAATGAAATTTGAATCATTTTTTTTGCAAATTAGTTTAAAAATCACACATGACAAGCTCTTATTTGTGGCAGTGGATTTCAAATTAGATATCCGATAATAGTTATTCAAAATCTTTGATATCGAGAACAAATTGTCAAATAATCAAAATATTATAATTATAAAAGCATACAACCGCACTGGAATAACACCTTCATGTATGATTTGCGTGCCTTTAAAAAAATGGGTAAATGTTCAGAATTTCGAAATTGGAATGAATTACTGGTAAGGTTTCAGGGTAGTGTACAAATTTATTGTTTAAGCGATTATAATCCGTATCTAATATTTTTTTTTTTTTTTTAGGATCATTTCTATTTCAAAGTATTATAAATTGGTCTCCCACTTTTTTGTCCCAAGATACAGAATTAATGGTGACCAAATATTCATTACAATTTTGTTTATTTCCAAGGTGAATTAAATTTACACGTTGACCTTAAGATCAAACAATCGTGTTTTTTCATTCAAGAACCAGTAACCTATTTTTTTATTTTTTTCTATTTCTGAGTTTCTTTCCTTTATCGTGAGCACTATAGAACCTGAAACTCATAGAATAGGCAGGTCACTCACTATCTTCCAAACAGGGAAAAATTGCTTTTAAATTGTTAACTTGAAATTTTTTTTAGATACCAAGTTAATGTTTTTATTGGGCGATAAGAAGCTCTGGGATTACCCTCATAACATTATTTTTCCTGTTGTCCATTGACAAGAACGATATGATAAGACGTCCATGTTAGCAGTCAATATTTCGTCCTAAGTGGGCTTATCTATGAGATCACTTGTTGGTTACTACTTGTCTCTAGAAGGCGTCGATAAAAATATCCATCATGTAAACAAGCATTGTGTACATGAAATTAACTCTTCGGATATATAATAAAGAATCATCAGGGGGCAGAAGGTGATGGTGGGTTTTGGGTCGAAATTCATTTGCCATGATGTACGTTATAACTGACCATGATTGGACGATAATCATTCATTTTTACTAAATTACAAAGGACAACATGAAGGATCACTTTTGTTGGAGCCAAGGCCTTTTCATGGTTTCCTTTGGCTAAGGTGTTTCTTTTCTTTCTTATTTTTTTCTGAAGAATCATTAGGCGCAGGAACCATCACACAATAAGTAACGTCAAGAAAGTGTGGTCCTCCATCATCTGAAAGGCCCCACATCAAAAATACCGACGGACAGGCAGACAAGGCGCCAGCGCACCCTATAATCAGACTGGGCAAACACTTGTCTCTAGTTAAGAGGCGCCTGACTGGGCTCTAGGAAATTACAAGTTAACAGGGGCTACTGTTCGCCGCGAGATGGTCTTCTTGAAGTTGTATTTGGCGAGAGATCTGAAGATGGTACACACAAATATAGAGGATCAGACGTTTAATTTTTTTCGCTGCAGTACTATAATGAATTATGGATTATTAAATGAGTCGTTTATATCCAATCCTATTCATTATTGATAATGTTACGCGATATATTGATAATACGCGAAAAACTATAATTTCTCTTCCAATAGAAAAATAAAACAAATCTAATTTTTAAAAAATAAATTAAGAAATCATTTATTTGTAGCACATATTTACTAGTTTTTAAAATTACATTCATAGCTATTAAAAAACATTGGAGCTTAAATAAGGAACATGAAACTAAATATATATGCACAGAGAAAGAAGAGAGTACCTCAGTATGACCCAGGGGAAAAAATTCTTTTCAGCTGAAATGGTATTTGGAGGAGAGTAGCTAGAATATCCAGGATCAAAAGGGTAAGAAATGTTACTATAAGGGAGAGATTGGAAATAAAACAAAATATCCTAGACGTGATGGAAGGAGACTCGGGTGGTACGGCCTCGTGAAACGAATGGGTGACTATAGGATTCTAAAGATAATTATGGATTGGGAGGCTGAAGGTAAAAGTAGGGAAGGATGACCCCAGTCAGATGGAAGGATAGAGTGGTGGAGAGTATGGCCGATAAGGGACTGTCGGAGTATGATGCGCTGGACTGGCAGAGATGGGAAGGAAGGAGTCTTGTTGCGGAAAGCTTCATTTTGCAGAAATTCCTAACGGGAAAGAAACTAAATAAGGACCGCTTTTGGAACGAAATTAACATCAAATTCTGTTTAAAAAAAAAAAAAGTTGCTCGAATGAGTCGCATTGTACCCTTACATAAGAGTCGTATATTTCCAAAGTAAACTATAATCGTAATTTACAATTTTTCAGGAAACGAAAAAAAAATTCTATTGCAGGTGTGATATCAAAACCTGTATTTGTTATATAATAAATTAAGAAATTCTTTATTGTAGCACACATATTCGAAAATCTGATCATTTCAATAATAATTTTAAAAACCTTACACCTCAAATAGGTTTTTTTTTTTTAGAAAGAATAAAACTTTTTGAAACAAAAAAATGTTGATTGTGGTTTGGCTTGTAGAGAAAAAAATAGTACAAAATTATCTTTTTGTTTATAATAATGGTACAATAAAATAACTTTAGTCTTCATTTAAATAAAACGGTTAAAAAAGCTTTTGATGGATTATTTTTTAAGAACAGTTATGAAAAGCATGTTTCATTGCATTCGTTGATAAAAAAAGAAATTTTTCCCCGACTTTTTTTTTTTAATATTTAGATTCGTTTAATAATTGCACAATCGGATTCATTGTTTGTTTTTACATATTAATTGATACTTATCTTGATTTCAATAAAAATCCATTAGAGTTAACTTTGGAAGCAACTGACTCATATACACATATTACGAATGCACTATTTTTTTTAATGAGCCATATAAAGCATAAAAAGATAAAAACTGATGTAGAATAAAAATTCATGTGCAACGCCATAAGGCTTCTTTATAAGCATCAATAAACCAAGCAACCGACGAGCAAAAAAACAGAACATAAAAGGATAGACTGAAAACAAACCCGTTAATAAACCTTGATGGCTTTATACCAACTTCCTAATTGATAGTAAAATAAAAAAAAAAAAATGAAAGAAAAAGATAACCCAAACAACCCCCTCTTTTTTTATATCTTGGGTTATAAAGAGTTGCTAAGGGCTGTAGCGGATGTTATCTTTAGCTAGGGGAGGAATAAAAGTTTAAAAGTCTAACTGGCCCATAAAGTAGAGGGGGTTAGGAGATAACCCGTATTAGGGTACCTTTTTGTAGGGTTATCTGTCCCAAGTGTAGCCGGGGTTACCCTTAGGGTTCTGATAAGGGTTAGCCGGCAGTATATAGCGATAATGGCCGTCCCCTAGGAGCATCGACACCTGCTAGAGAATAAACAGGCCCTCCTGGAATGGAGCAAAGAGGGTTTTTTTTCCAGGCTGAGGTAAATGGAGCGTTTTCTCTGAGGACATGCGCCCCGTCCTCTGGTAATATCTTGCAACGTGTCCCTGATCTCACAGATAGTCTGGAGAAGGCTTTGTGCTGTAGCAACAGGAGCAATGGTTCCGGCATGTTCATTACGTGTTAACGTAAAGCCATTTGTGAGAATCATTTCTTGTCCTGTGAAAACAAAGTTCTGGTGTTATACTAGTAGAAAATAGAGAAATTCGTTTTAATATAACCTTTTATGTAGTTAAGTATTTTGTTTTAACAATGGTGGATTCCTGTAGGAATGAAAAGAGGGAAATTATCCTTTCCAAGATAACAACTGGAAAATAAAAATACGTATGTTTAAAATTTGATCAGTACATCCTCCTCAGCAATTACATTTACAAATACATAATTACTTGTATTTCTAGGTCCAAGATTTGTCGTTGAGAATAAAATATACGAGAGAAGCCCAAATCGAAAGAAAATGTAATGGTTAGGATTTGATATAAGTGGTTTACCATCATTTTTTACAATTCCCAATTTTTTTCTTTGAGAAAAATCTAAGGAACAGCACGAAGACTTTTCACAATGACCAAAATTCAGTCTCTTAAATGAACTTCTAAAATTCTACTTTGTAGCGCTGAATGTGCAACTCTGACTACTGTAGTGAGCAGGAATATATTTTCCATTTCTCACAAGTTCTTCAACAGTCATCCCAAACCATCCGCATCATCTGGTTTGGAGCGTCACATTGATTAATGCCAAGGGCTGTGGGAGTGTCATCCCAAAGGACCACATCGAGATGACACGCCACAGGGCACAATATTTATGCAGCGCGCCAGAGCCCTGCGCTGTGTGACAGAGCCGATTGTGACATTTAGTCACGGAGCCTCCTCATTGAAAGGAACCAGAGAGGTGCCATATATCGCCCCGTGATGACCATTAGCGGGACGTCACAACAGTCAGGGGCTGCCCGCAGGCATTGTCATCCCCTCCGGCACCTGCCCACCCAGGTGTCTTCGCTTCTTCTTGGGCGTGGCTCTGCCGCATACTTGGTAACGTCCCTTATGTGGACTTAGGTTAAAAAATCAGATTTTATATCCATTAATTTTAAGTTAGCAATTAGCCCTCAGTTGTCCCTGTCGAAAAATCCCATTTATTTTTAATTAATCGGAATGTTTGCCGATTGAGCCATCATCAGATTATCAGTGCACATATGTTAATATCTTGTGATGACATACATCCGAAACAGAAAAATTAACAGAACTTACTAAAAGACATCAGTATGTAGATAAAACTTAATTATAACAGTAAAATAAACAATTATAAAAAAAATATATATACCATTTTGTACGACAGCTGACCTTAGTCTCAGGGTGGGCAGCTCATTGTGCTCTTCTGGGTACCAGGCCTCAGCACAAGCCACCATCATTGCCTTCCAAAACATCTCGCTTCCTTTTGTTCTATTCGGTTTTTATTGCCTTTTTGTTCTATTCTCCTTAGTAGGGAGGACGAGAATGGTGTCCATTGACAAGATTTATTATGATTTACGAGAGGCTATTATGCTCTACTTTCTGACTTTTAGATTCAGTACGAAACATTTGAATTGGGACGTAACTAAAAGTTGACTCTGCTATAGCCATTGATTTTTAAAAACCGTCGTATAAATTATATATGACGTATCAGATGTGGGTTATTTTCAAAATTAATGCACAAACTGCGTATTAAATAGTAGTTTGTCGCACTAAAATGTAATGACAAAATTTAACTTCTAAATACTGCAATGTCTTCTAGTTCTACCCTAGTCATCGGTTATAAGAGATATTCTTAATATTCTTCTGCACAGGCGAAACAGATACCTCTTTTTATCAAATTATTAACATACCTCTAAAACTTTGTAAATCGCTTCATCTTATTGTAACCTACAACTTGTTTATTTACAAAAATTTTCAGAAATTGGACGTTTCCTCATAAAATTGATTGATTTAGCGAGGTAAGAAAGAAGTCAGGAATAGCCATTTGCTTTCCACTTAAATCATAATGTGACCACAAAATCGAGAAAAAATGTTGCCTACAAAAATATTGGACCGTTCGGCCTATATAACCACATTATTTAGAAACGTTGGGATGGAGGTTACGTTTAACGGCCCAAATTTTTATAGCACTCCTTTTTACTTTCACTTACCTATATATGTAATATATAGTAAGGAAAAATATTGCGATCGCGAAAATTTTCGATTCTGATATTTTAACGGAAATATACATTTTGAGGTCCCTTGAATCCAAATAACTAAGTCCCGCAATGGTATGTGGGTTTGTGTGGCTGTGTTTCTGTATGTATGTGAACAGTCTAGCTTAAAAACGAAAAGTAATACGAAACTGATATTACGTATTTAAGATAGGTTTGGACGTCAGAGGAACCTTTTCCTTAAAATCGACTAACCGGAAGTGCCACTTAATATGAACGATGAAACATATTTTTTACAACTTACTCAAAAAACGGCTCCATCGATTTTGATTAAACTTGGTGTATCGTTGTATAATTCAGTAGTCTTTAATATCATTTATGTCATATCCCCCCCATTGATGTCAGTTTACATGGCTTAAATGCCCCATGTTCATATACGTCTTCCTCTAAAGTATCTTTTAATAACCTCTAAATATGGTTTATTTAAATACATTAACTCTCTTTTATTGACAGTAACTATAAAAAAATGACTAAGTATGAAGTTTGAAAGAATGATGATTGGAAACAGGAGAAAAAAAAATTCCTTTCCAGGTTGAAAATGAATCTCCGGAAATAACAGTCAGAGTGTATACGTATAACATATCATTGGAAAGTTGTATCAAATAAATAAAACAAATAAATAAAGTTGTAGAAGGTAACGAAAAGTGATGAAAAAAATATAAATAATGATTTCTGAAAAAAAACACATTATTTAACGTAAATCATACGTTTCCAATGAAATTTTCTCACTAAATGTGAACATAATTTTTTTTTATGTTTAAAAAAAAGTATCTAAAATCCATCGAACCATGGCAATGGAATTGTTTAAAATATTATTTCATTGTACTCGTTTGAAAGAAGAAGTGAAATATAAAAATATTGCATGGATATGATTATAACCTTAGATACATTTACTGTAGTTTAATTACTTTATATCAGACATTATATTTAAATAATTAGGTATCTATCGGCCGTTTATTCCGAAAAAATCATCTAGTGCACCTTTAAGAAAATTAAATTAGTGAATAATTTTCTCTTTCTGAAATCCTAACATTATCCACTTACAATTAGTGAGATAAGTTTTGACCTATCCAATATAGACAATTAAAATCACGTAATTTCATTTTAGTAAACTTTACAATGGAAAATAACAGTTTAATAACTAATGGTCCTACAATTCATAATCATTTATAGATTGACTATTCAGATTTACTTTGAAATCTCTCTAGGCATATATGAGCTTTTCAGTTGACAGAATGACTAATTCCCAATTTCAATATTCTTCATTATTAATCTTAGTGATGTTTCTAGCGGGAAAATTTATACCTTTATTCACAGATCTATATTTCAACACTACAATCACCTGTTCTACTTACTCACTGTTAGTGTTGCCCAAATGCGAGACCGAGACGATTCTTAATCTTGCAAACTCAGTCTTGGTCAAGGTCTTGATCTTTCACTTCTTTCTCTTAAGAGTCTCGCAGTTACTTATTAGCGTATTACTATGGAGACATTACCGTAATTTCTTAGATAGGAGAAGCCTAACTAAGGCCGAATGAAAAATTAGAGGAGTTAAATGCAAAAGTATAATTGTTATACCTATTATTAACATATAGTAACTAAGATTGTCAAGTATTAGTAATTATTTTGCCACAATTTTTATTTGAAAAGTCGATTTTTTTTACCGTTCCTGGTCTTGGTCTTGCAACAGTAAGGTGGCCTTGGTCTTTGTCTTGCAACAGTAAAGCGGCCTTGGTCTTGTAACAGTAAGGCGACCTTGCAAAGTGCAAGAGCAAGACCGATTTCGGGCAACACTACTCACTGTCTTTATAGATATAACTATTTCAAATAGAAATAACACTAAAATGACATTACTGAAAAATGTTGAAATTGGAGTTAGTCATTCTGTCAACTGAAAGGCTCAGAGACTGAAGTTATGTGATTTAAAAAAGCAGGTGGAGATTTTTATTGCATAAGGTCGATATAATAAATAGACCTTTTGTAATTTGAATGGTCTTAATGATTTGTTATATGTACGCTTTAGCTCCTTTTAAAATGCACTTCATAAATTTTATAATAGTCCAACATTGCAAGAAAATAATTTCTATTCAAAGTAGACCGGTAAGTGAAAGTTGTGTGTCGCACTAGATTTTGTGGTCAAATTATTTTACGATTGAGGTGGAAAGAAAATGGATGTTCATGAATTTTTAATACCTCATTAAATAATTTTTAATACTTTTTAATTTGATTAAAAAAAAACAAACTTATATTTATGCTCATGAAAATAAACATGACTACAAACAAGAATAAAGATTCGACTAATAAATATAATTTAATGCTTACTATACTTATCGATATGATCCGTTTAACATTTTTATTTTGAAAAGTCTTTGTTTAGCACACGCCACTTTTAAATAGAACATGACCTCATTCAATGGGAGTTACAGGATTCACTTTCGTCAGAACATACATTACTGATACCTGCAGAATATCAGCCCCTCTTTGGTGTATGATATCATATTCTTTCATAGTTACTGTCAATAAAAGAGAGTTATTTTTTTAAAAATAAACCATATTAAAGGTACTCGACGGCTAGCAAAGTCAACTTAGTTACGTCCTAATTGAAACGATTCTTACTAAATGTAGAGCATACCCGGGCTCTCGTAAATCATAATAAATCTTGCCAGTGGACACAATTCTCGCCCTCCCTACTTAGGGGAATAGAACAAACACTGCCATAGAATAGAACAAAAGGAAGCGAGATGTTTTGGAAGGCAATGATGGTGGCTTGTGCTGAGGCCTGGTACCCAGAAGGACACAAAGAACTGCCCACTCTGAGGCTAAGGTCAGCTGTCGTAAATTTGTCAATGCCTTCCATCTTCGAGGGGGGTCCTTCCTCCTGTTTTCTCCGATCAATTCT